GCTTTTAAACAAGACAATGTAATGAGCACTGAGACTGATGGTGTGATGGACTTTACTTTGTTGAAACAAATATTGGTTACTGTATATCACACTTGGATTGCGATGACTTTTGCACGTAAACTACAGTTTAATTTCTTCTTCGTCTTCTCATACATTTCGTTGAAGATTACCAGATGAGTTTGAATGAGGTGAGACACAATCTCGTCGTTTTCCCCATGAATACCTTCCGTAAACACGATGGAATCCCCTTGACTTTCTCGCCGATTATCACTCTTTGTAATAGCACATGATACGTTAAGGTGGACGATCGGTCAAATGATTTTCATTTTCGATCAAATGTTTGACAAATTCGGTTTTGTCTGGACCGCTCGGTCCAGTAATTAACATGTTAAATGGATGAGTAAGCTACAAGGCCTCGCAACTAGCACGATCTAAGTTTTTGTCGATGACTTTGAAAGTGGAAAAGAGGTAGAAGAGACAGCAGAGGTCGCCATGGTGAAGTGAATGTCACTTTCGAAACGAAGACAGACAAGAAAAGAGATTTTATACTTTTCCAAGACAAGTTTATTTCAAAAAATTGTTAAAATTGAACACGAAAGACAAAAATACATAAAAGCCAAATGGTTAATTACATCGATAGAATACAAATCAAACCGATCAAGGTGGAATATAAACAAGTCACTGTAGAACACTTGGTGACGAAGGTGTGTTGTCCTAGGATCACGGGGTTATGTTTTTGGAGGCTCTACATTTGGCAGTCACACGTGATCCTCCCGGATTGACCTTTCTGGGATGTGCATGTCAATGATGGTCCTATCCTGAATAGAGTGGTTGACCTCCATGTCAGGTTCTATTTCTGACACCGTGGCTAACACAGGTTTAAAAGTTTCTTTTTCAGTGAACGTTTGAATTTATGGTCACAAATCTTGGGCATAGTTTGCCGCTTCTTTTGTCCAATTCTCAAAACCCAAATTTTTCCAGTCGCATACATCTTGCCAGTGACCAATCTACACACACGTCTTAAGTGACGATTACAGATTTTAAGTCCGACGAACCGTTGAGGTAGAGAAGTATCGAGATGAAAGCGCAAAGATTTTAACGGAATGAGTCTCTTGTGAACATTTAAAGAAACCACTCTCGTGTTTTTGGTGGAACTGTGAAGTACAGATCGTAAAGCTCTCACAGGAAATAGGCTGGTAAACGAAATCCCAGAAAGGAAGTCACTAAGGCAGGCCACTAGTCGACCAAATTCATTGGATGCAGTAATCGTAAGTCCGCCACAGTTTGAATACTGTCATTGATTTCCTTCCACGGTAATTGTTGCATCAATAATGGAAATGGTTGTGGCATGACAGCAAGTGTTTATGCCTCTTTGTGTCGGATGTAAAAAATGTACCTTTAGCACAGAACTGATGGTAATCCGTCGATATATCGAAATAGTTTACATACCACACAGCGGACAGAATTTTCCTTTACAGATAACAGTTAATCGAGTAAACGATTTTGGAAATCCTTTAAGACTTCCTCTGGAATTCGATATAGTATGGATACTATGTAAGTAGAATCAGTAGCAACTAAATTCTTCTGACCCTTGCGTAGTTGATTAATGTCTGAACATTGGAACACTTTCAAAATGAATCAGTCCTCTTATATAATGTTGGTGCTATTGGTTCCAACAGTAGTAACGTAAGGGATGCAATTGTTCTTTGCGTTTGACTTGTATTTTAACAGACTCTCGGTAAATTCGTTTTCTCAACTGTACAGGCAAACCATAGATGTTCTCTTGTAAAGTATCTATCAAGAGATTACTGAGGTCGTCCCATTAAAGGTAGGTAGTGACAGTGCAGAGACCATCGAATATGTTTCAGGTATGCGGAATCTTTCTTTTTCTACCAGTGAAGTAACACACGGAAAATGAAGATCTTCACTTATCACCTTCTCCCAGGTAGATAATTCCGGCTCTGGCTAAGTCTTGGTGGGTGGGAAGATTCTCCCAGATATTTAGGTCACTTTCCTTGGAAGGTTTGGAAATGACGTTTAAAGTCCCAGTATTCAGACAAACGCACAGGGAACGAATATTCTTTGACAGGCTCATTTCGATGCGGACACGGTGAAATCCGCAATAGTTTACTTAGGCATGGATGATATCCGTAAGGTGGTAGTCACAATGTTTCAAGTGGAGGATGACGATGACCATGAAAACCAGTAAAGAGTCACGATAACGAGTGGCATGGCTTTCATAGCTGTCAGGTTTGAGATGTACTGCATCACTTTTCATGGTAGGTATCAGTAGTAGTAGTAGTAGTAGTTGTTGTTGTTGTTGTTGTTGTTAAATTAGTACTCATAACAAAGTTTCCAAAATGTAGTACTGAATTGCTGAGGTCGCAGTCTACGGCATTCCTGCACAGCATCGTACTACATTTGAAAATCACCGAACTTGAATGGTGTCTGTTTCATAGAATTCATCTTTCTCTCTTGGGAATGGTAGTCTCCATGAACTATCGGTCTTGTACATTTTCACTTTTTATATGCTGACCAATATCGACCTGTCCGTATGATAAAGTGAAGTGTTTAGGAAGCCCCATTCGCTTCTTTTGATTCAGTTTCTCCAAAGGCCGACTGATGATTTGGTTTGTGGCTAAATGTATGATCTTGTTAGGCTCGGTGGTCACTTTAAAATGTTGCTCCTCTTTAGACTGCAAGGCTTTTTTCAATACCCCAAAAGTTCACCATTTTTACATGCTCGATGACTGATAGTCAATCCTATGACTTTACACTCATTGTGCACTTCTCCTTGCATGTCCCGGTATTTGTAGCCGTAATTTTGTGCCCGCCACTAGCAAAACGTAGAATCTTGTCGTTAGGGTGTTTGTCCGTTCAGGTTCCTAAACGGTATCCTTCGATGTCAGGGTGACGTTGAATCAGGCGATCGATGAAGATACAACTCTTTGTGTCAAAATATAACACACGATCTACAACTGGAGTAAGGCCTCGTATAGTTTTAAACGATAATGGGTTGTCAGGTAGGCCGCAATAATGACATTTCCAAATTCGACGGCCTGTACAAAGTCCAGTTCTGCTTCGTAATTGATCACGATCAAGTCATCACGAAGGAAATTCACGTGCTTCATGTATTTGGTTTTGTCGTGAATCAGTTGGAAGAAGCCGGAAGGTTCTGTCAAATACTCCCTCTTGCGTAAACACGGTCGTTGTGCCATGTTGCCGCACAAGCAATTTAACATCACTTTTGCAAATTATCGCTTTCCTTCATTGTTCTCGATGTGGTTTAAAGTGATGCCTTCCTGCTCCTAGTATTTCTCTTGAATTTCTTTTGGTCTTCAGGAGTATGACACCAAGAAGGATAGCCACTTTCTTCTTGTTCCTGATTGAAAAAGGCATCCACGTAGTCTGCAAAAATGCCTTTCTGAGTCTCGTCGCCTTTGTGGTATTTTTCTGTCTTGGAAAAGTGATAGATTTCGTATTCTTCTGACGATAGGTATCCTAAGTCCAGATCTTTAAACACTTCCACTCTGACCCATGTTCCTTTCAATGTGCGTTCTTACTGGGTGTGCTGGCAAGGTTTGTCTTGGTTGAACTTTTCGGCACAAGCACGGCACAAAGGAAACATCGGTTTTCTTTAATAATGGTGAGGTAAAACTGGATGATACAATGTCTGTGGGAGGCAAGACTTTGCATTTAATCATGCCTTCGCATTGTTGAATGTTATGCACGTCGATGTGTTTCGTCAGTAATTCTTGGTGTCCTGCGAAAAAGTAACAATATCTGCACACGTAAGGATACAGCGAACACGTCCAAAAAACTTGATTTCTTCTCGTTTCTTCTCCTCGGCGTGGTACAGCGAACAAGTGGCATTCGTTCGACTTCCATACAAACTGTCCCATAGGTTCAGAGGGTCTAACAACTTTTAACTTCCCACGATGCGGTTAAACTCGATTCGGTTTTCAAACGGTAAACTTACTCGTGTTCTCACATTTCCACCATTTGATAACCTTGCTGTTCTAATTTTAAGCGCTGCTGACAAGTGGCCTCCTGCTAGTCTTTCATGGTACGTTATAAATATTGATTTTGTTTGTACCGTTGAGGTCAGCAGATCTGACAGCCATGAAATAAGCAACTGTTAATCTCGTACACGATCTTATGGTTTTCTAAGTCCCAGCCATCTACAGAATATGTTCAGATGGTCTTTTCAACTCCTCGGATTCTGGAGTGTTGGATCGATTTGTCTTCCTTGTCACACAAGTAATGTAGCAAGCGCATAGCTTTGACCGAGTATTAACGTTTAACAAAGTTTGTCGTCTGAGGGTATATGACAGCCAGGATCTTCTCCGGCAACAAAAGTTTGCGGTAAACTAAGGAACACGTTTTGACAATGGTGCAGGGTTCTTTCAAAGGATAGATCTACACGACCAGTTCTCGAAATGTTCCACAGCATTGCTGTAAAATGTCCACGTCGGAACTTCAATACTTTAAGATTTTCTTCTGAAATTCCAAGGGGTCAGAGATGTCATGGTGGTACCAAGCGCAGAAAACTTCTCGTTGTTCGGTGGGCATGTTGTCAGGGTCGTAATAGTGAGCATTAGAGGTAAATGGGCCAGAACGGCATGTTGATTGGCTTCGGTATTGTGTGTGTGTGTGTGTGTGTGTGTGTGTGTGTGTGTGTGTGTGTGTGTGTGTGATATATATATATATATATATATATATATATATATATATATATATATATATATATATATATATATATATATATATATTGATTTTTAATGTAGCTTTCACATTTTTTCAGTCATATCTCTATGATGTCTGCAGTATGGCAGTTTAGAGTGCTGTATAGCACTGGGGCATCATGTCTTAGACATGTAGCATGATGTCCCACCCAGTCACATTCTCCTGACACCAGGCCGCCCAGTCCTAACACTGAACCCCTAATGCTGAGGCCCAAGCGAGACAGCTGTAAGTACTATTTTTGTAAGTCTTTGGTATGACTCGGCCAGGAATCAAACCTACTACTTTCCGCATCTGAGGCGGAAACTCTAACCACTAGGCGACCGGAGCGATGCTTCGGTATTGAAAAAGTGCGGAAAATGGCCTTTGGCTATTTCTGTCATTCCAAATATTTTAGGCATTCTACTCAAAGGCATAGCCAAGTAGCTCTTAATGGATAAAATGCACTTTCACCACTTGCATGAAAATGATTTTTGCTCCATTCAAAGTCATTTTAGGATGTTCGGTGCTTTGTTACGTACAGTATTTCGGAAGAAACTGTCCATCGTATCATTATAAATTGTGAGCCATCAACGTGGTATAACAATGGCAATCTCCGTAACGTTCGATGTCCTCTTGACTCCATGATTTATCTATAGGGTCTAACATCGATTGGGCAAGATTGTCCAACGTGTTCGGTACTCGAAAGATTTTTCCACGTCCATCAGGAATCTTGCTGCACAGTTTCTTATTCTGGTCCTTCTGTTCCTCCTCCTGTTTTCTTAGTATTTTTTAATGTAGCATTCGCGTTCTAAGTCAACGGGTTGGTGACAAACGTAGGTATAACTTGTCCACAAGTGGGGCACAATCTCTGGACTTGACAAGCAGTTTTCTGCTGTGAATCTTGCATTTTTAAATGTTGTTGGTAATTTGCTGGGCCGATACAAGTTCGCTGCCAAGTTAGGCAATACACTCGTTGTTATCCTTTGTCATGACAGGGTTTAGATGCCAAACATACCTCACATTTGATCAACATTGTTTGAGTTGCTCTCGATTGTTATAACCATAGTCACATTTTTCACAATAATCACCGTATCCCTGGAATGCAGTGATAATATTAATGTTATCGAAATGTTCATCGTGATGATGGACGTGAATGTATTTTCCGTCTTTGAAATTTTTGCTTGGAAACAATAGAGGTCAGCAAGCTTCTTAAAAGTGTACTTTTAGCGTTTAGCTGGAGCTAAAACGTCTTGCATTTGCATTTAAGGAATACCACAGAAGTGCCTTCGGATATCCCCGCTTGCTGTAACAGGAGTTATGTCCTGTCGTGCTTGTCGGCATATGTTCATCCCACCACGATAGCCCTGGCTAAACATATCTGGTCTTGAGTATTGTTAATTTGGATGCGGATCTTTTCTGGTGCTACGAAAGTCTTCCAACTATAAGTTTTTTGAGTCCATTCCTTAACGGAAAAGAAACGTGGGCCATGTACAATGTCGCTTTTCCATCGGTAATGTGTAAGTTGTCGTTCAACTGTTGTACGTGTTGAATCTTATCGATGGCTTTAGAAGGTGTCAGTTCTGATGGCCTGCTAAACTCGATCCAAGCAGGGACTTTAGACAGTTGTGATAAAAGGAAAGTGTCAAGCGATCGTCTTCTTTGGATTCACATTGCCCTTTTAGTATGGTTAACAAAGAATCCCACAAATAGGTGATGAACTCATTTGATTTCATCAACGGTTCGTCGGACTTGAAATCTGTAAACTTCACCGTCTACGTGTAAACTGTGGTTCTAAATTTTCTAGAGGAGCTTCTATCCTTCTTTCGAACGTGGTGGTAGTTTTCAGGGGTTATGGTGGTGGAATTTTCCAATCGGTTTTCAGATCATTTTATTCAATACCAAATCATTTGGAATTTAAATTCATGATTTCATTGATGGATTAAATCTTGACCCACACTTACGCACTCACACACGTAAGTCATGGAGAAAAAGGAATTTGAATTTTATTTGATTTTGGCAAACATTGAATAGGCTCTTTTTGAAAGAGGTATGTGGCCCTAAAAAGGACCGTTGGGTGTATGCTTTTTGTTGGGTTTTTATTTTCATTTTTTATCTATTTTCTTTTATTTAAAAAAACAGCTCATGAATGTGAAGTAATGAACTTTAACTGACTTATCCCAAGGTCTACTTCTGAAGCTGCTACTGTCGAGGATTTGGTACAAATCACTAGCGTTGGTATTTCAGACGTAGTAGGTGTGTTGATGGGATTCGACTGTTTGGCTCGGAGAGGTCTTTTTCTCTTGCGTGGCATTAAAGAAGCCTGATACATTTGTTTTAGACTCTTTAACTCTGCCGAAGAATACTATCACCGTTTGACTTTTACTGTCCTTCTTCTCTCATAGACTTTGTTTCTTCTCTGCTTCTTTTTCTTTTATCTGTCGTTTTCTTTTTGACTCTTCTTCGTCTTAGTCTAGCTCTTCCTGTTGAATGAGAAAGACATGTTCTGTTTTTTTCTTCTATTGAAAAAATTTCTCCAATTTTTCTATCTGTATGTTTAAAAGCCTCGACGTACGATACGGAATGCATTGTTGCCATTATCTAGGACCGAGACCTCACCCCTGCTAATTTCCTATTGTCCTTAGAAATTCCAAATCCATGATCGCTATATATTCCCTATGTTAAAGTCCCATTGTCCCCAGAGAAAACGACCAAATTTAATACTAATGCCCCATTGAGCCTAAATCCCTCCTAATTACTCACACATATGGCCTCAAAGGTCTGGGTTTAGTATTCTCCTCGACCTTCTGATCGCAAGTCCTCGGTGTAGCCTGAATGGAAGAAATTGATTTCGCAATACAAAGGGATTCTGTTTCACACCAATTCGCAGACCTCATTCTTAACGTGTCATAAGCGATATGTATGCCTCGGCGAAAGAAGAAGTCGCTAAAAGAGAAGGAAAGGTAGGAAAAGGTTTAATTTTCCTCTGAAGCAACTCGACTGATATTTCCGAATCCACCGTCTCTGAAGTAAATTCACTCAAACCATCAAGAACACTTATCGGTCTCTCACTGAGAGAGATGTCATTCCTGAGGTTTTTCATAGGGGAATGTGTACCATCATTTCAGTAGGTGAGAGGTGTTTGTCACTTAAAACAGCGTCAAATTTTGAAGTTCTTGTTATACGTATCTTTCGAAATTTAAAAAATGAATACATTTTTAAGCTTTTGATTTACAATTTCTATATAATTACTTTTGAAAATTTTAAACTTTGTCTTAAATTTTTATATCCCTAGCCTACGCAAAGGTCTTTGACGGTTCGGAAGTTTTAGTACATTTTGTCCAGATCATTATAATCTAAGAAGCTTTGCCTTTGCTGTCGTAACATATAAACTCTGACCACACTTATATTTTTCTCTATATAGCCTCTACACATGTTTCTCTGTACTGAACATTCCACGTTGTCAAAATCCTAATAAATCGTATATTAATATAAAATGCCTTCCAAGGTGAACTCATGATGTGCGTGGTTATGTGTGCGTGTGTGTGTGTTCGTGTATGATTTAGATTTTTAATATTGCTTTCAAAATTGTGTCAGTCATATCGCTACGATGTATGCAGTGTGGCAGTTTATAGTGACGTCTAGGACTGGGCATCATGCTACAGACTAGTCTGACACGTAATACCTCAACTCTGATATTTATGTTATGGGCGTCGAGTCGAACGCTCTTACTACTAGGCCACTGGAGAACGGTGAAGAGACTGTGCTATAAACAAAGCACCGTGCAATGTGTCACATATTTCACTCCCGGAACAGGCAGTGCCGTCTTAACAACATTGTAGACTCTGTGCAAAGCAATGCGCTGGGACACCCTACCAGCCCTACTATTCATTTGCAATATGGACAGCATGATGCCCCTAGATGCGTGAGGCCCTGGGCAACTGCCCAGTGTGCCCATGCCTTAAAACAACACTGGGATCAGGATCAATATACATCATTACTCACTGTGCACTGTCGCCAAAATACACACAGACAGTCAAACCAAAATGCTTATATTCTAAAGAATAAACAATTGTTTTTAAATTAATACAAGATTGCCGGAATCTTTCGTTTGTATTATCCACCAATAAGAACGAGGAAGAAATGCTTAAAAGATAAATGGGACTAAATTCGAATGGTACTGAACCAGAAGCAATAACTATTACATGAACCATGTGTGGTGTACTCCGTCTAAAGGCGAATTACCAAAAACATGGTAGAATAAATAAAAGCTTAATAAAGCCTTCAACATAGGTAATGCTTTAATAAAAATAAATGTTGGTTATGTAACAATGGCCACTATGCAGAAAGTTAGTAAACATGGCGTTGATGACAATATACAAATAAAACTACCAGGCAGCAGATCAGTAAACGTGGTGCTAAATGTATTGTATGGGGTGTTGGTCACTGTACACAGCGTGTTTAATAATATATGTGGAGTGCTTTTTGGGCAGCAGTCACCACCAAACTTACATTAATAAAATGATATAGAATGAAATCAAATGATTTAAATCATTTTATTTCATACTACATCATTTCATTAATGTAATTTTAACGGTGGCGGTTGCCATTATATAGAAGCCTTTATGGTGGCACTCACCAGTTATTATGTACTTTTGAGAGAGTGATGTAAGTAAGGTGAAGTTGTTTGCATTTTAAACATGCACAGTGGAGAGAATGTTGGCATACCTATATACTACTTTCATGTAATGTGGATGAAATTTCTTTGGATATTGTACTTTTGGAAATTTTAAATGATCTTTGGACACTGCTAACTAAAATGACTGCTCCCTTGTGCTCCAAAAATCAACCTAAATTTGTCTAAAGTACTTTATTCTTGGCAGCTATTAAAATATGGAAAATGAATTTTGCCAAACTAGATAATACCAGCTTCTAAAAGTGCAATGACTGAATTACCAAATACATAAAATATAAAAAATGTTATCGGCTCTTTTTTTTATAATTTACCTCTGAAGTTCGAAAAGTGAAAATGAGCAAGTAGAGCTAGCATTTTTTGAAAGGTGCACATCTAGAGTAAGGCCAAGCTATGTACTCTCTAACCCATCAATCATACATCAAAATAAAGGGAATTAAAAGTTCTTTGAACAATACCTAATATATACAAAGTCTCTTTTAAATAACCAGTATAACTAGTGAGGAAACCCGGGGAAACTCTTTTTTTTTTTAAATTTTAACCCTATGCTAAATACGAAACTGTAGAGTGCCACCTATTGGAAACTCATGCGGAGAAATGTTAAAGAACTCACGCACATTCGTTATTGTGGATCAAAACACTTGATGATGAGTAGAAA